ACCACGAGCCAGGCCAAAGGAGGTTTATTAGGCTGCTCTGAGTAACACGCGTGGAAGCAGAATTGCCGGATGCCGATCCGCGTCACTGTCGGTGCTGCCACGGCGTAGCGCGGCGAGTCTCCTCTTGGACCTCTTGGCACAGTCACGTTTCCTACCGTACCACCGAGGGCCAGAAGTACGTGAATTCCAAAGGCGGCTGCTTTTCTTGTCCCTTTTCTTCTTTCAGTGTCAGACACCAGAAAACACCAGCATGACTTGTTTCCCCCCTCGCTGTGAAATGCAGCGTCTCCTCCCGCTTGGCGCAGCAGTGACAGGCAGACTGGAGAGGAGGGCACGCAAGGGAGAGAAAAAGGACACCTTCAGGAAAAGGAAGAGAAAGACCAGAAATCGGGAAGAGGGAGGAGTCAAACTGAGAAGAGAAGGATTCGAGAACAGGGAAGTAGCAGAAAGAGGAAAGCAAACTGAGAAACCCCCATAAAAGAGAAGGTGCCGCTGCCCTTCCCTGCTCTGTGCTGCGTAAGAGGAAGTTCAGCAAATGCTCTGAGGAAACAGGGATCTTTGACTCATAAAAAGGCCGACCATTACCAAAACTTGCCAGTTACTTATTCCCACCTTTACTATAAAACCCATGTGCTTCATAGATTGTGGTTAAGCCATTTTTGCAAGCACAAGATACTTCATTTATTACTGGGTCTTGCAGATTACTTTCCACAGCTACCAGAGAAAAAGCTCCTTCTGCTGCACAGTGTTTATATGCTAAATGCAGTGCTTTATCTACTAATTGCCAGCCATAGCTTTTAAAGAGCATTCAGAATTTTAAAGCATGTAGCCAGCTTTGATTAAAAATTTAACATTTTAAATAAAGCCATGCAATCTCATTTATTTCACAAACGCTTGAAAGCAGCAGCAAGTCACCAAGTGAAATTTCAACTGCAGATCAGCACCATCTGGAGAAGAATTAGTTCTCCTTTAATGTACCGTTAAGTTTGGTGATAAGCAGCACTGGCTAAAGTTACCATGGTAGTACATAAACCACTCAACATTTAAGTTATATGGATGATCAGGGTGGTTGGCTGGTTGAGGCACAAGCTCTGCTCCAACAAGACAGGCAGTCTTAATTAAAAGAAAGTTCCTGAGCACCCTCACAGGACAATAAAAGAATAAATCCTCCTACCCTCAAACGGGGATCACTTACAAGCCTGCAGATCTGTGAAGGAGCAGGCAGTTGTGGCAGTGTCCAATGCTGAAGCCTACGGATTTCAAACCTCAGAAGTACAGACATCTCAGTGGAGAAACTGTCCACTGAGAATTATTCTCTCACTTAACATAACTTCAAGGAAGACGGTGCAGTGCTCTGTCGGATACTGGATCACACACCTCACAGCTGTATTTCCTAGAACCAGAATCACACGCGTGGATCCACAGCCTAGTCACTGGCCACATGGGTTTTACCTGTAGGTCTGCCCTCAACTTAAGTACATTGTCATGAATGACCCCCAACTCCTGCACGAGTGGCATGCTGCACACGAAGCACGGAGAACCTCCTGGGCAGAACGCATCAACACACAAGGTAGAATGTTTCTGGAAGCGGTAGTCTCTCTGATAGTTACAGGTGAAAAGGTAAAAAAAATAAAAATCAGAAGTTAGCTGGCATTGGGATATACACAGTGTCTGTGAATAAATACACTGTAAGTAAAGGAACCACCAATGGAAGGTCCCCATGAAAATAAAGCAAGAGAAATACAAATTACAGATGCCAGTGACAGCCACAGGGGCTTCGATTTTTTTAAATTTTATTTAATCAAAGTTAAGACGTGGATAAACATAAATACAGCACAGGTACTTCAGATCATTCTTCATATTTGTGTACAGACAGACTGATGGATGTAATCCCAATAAAACCTGCAGTCAATGAAGTGCATACAGCCTTCCCCCCACACATACAAAAACAAAAACCAATTTAAAAAAAAAAAACAACCAAAAACAACCACGCAGACAATCTCAGCACACACTCTCATTACAAATGATTCATACATAAATAGGTAGAGGGTGCAAACAAGCTAATATGCAACATGTATAACCTCTCGTTAATGGGAAAAAAAACAGAAGCAGCCATAATGATTAAAATACATTCAGTTACTGATAACTAGTTGTGCCATACAAGGCATTATCAAAAAAAGGAAATTGTGCTGCAGAGAAAAGCTATATACAACAAGAAAATAAACTGCAAAGTTAACGCATGCATGTTTTATCCTGGAAAAGCACAGCCCTCCAATATTTTCTCCATGTTTGTTATAAAAGCCCTCTGCACTCAACTAAAATTAAAATGATCTTAAAGGATAATACTTGTAAAGTTTACTTAAGTCTTCAGCCACAGAAAACTGCAATGAAAATAAATGTTCAGTCATTTTCAAAACAAAAAAACAAAAACAAAAAATCTATTCATCTGATGACATGCATGATTAAAAGGTCTAGGCAAGATACACTGCTCTACATTCCTGATGACTAAGGAAAAAAGCTCAAGTCAATTTAATCTGCAGATGGTCAGAGGATTTTGTATTCCAGCAGAAGCAGCAGTTCAGATCTTCTGGATCTTTTCCCCAACAACTACAGGATTCTCTTTTCTGATTTTCTCAGCAGCATCAGCTTTGTAATTGTAAGAGCAACTGTGTACATCTGAATAACGGTGCATACCACAGTAAACGTTTCCACACCGACACTCAAACCCTGCGGACAGAAATATTAACTTAGACATTTCAACATTCTTCATTATACTGGTTTGTTTTAAATCCTGAATGGGTTCACTCACTAGCAATAAATCTCAGTCACCAGTGTCAATCAGCCACAGTCTGTGCTGCAGAAAGCATAAGAATCACAAACAACACATTTTTAAGCAATTACAGTAAGATTTGACTTGACCATTCCTTCCTACCACACAACACACTAGCACGAGACACACTCCTAGAGACCCCCTGCTCTTTATGAATCTTCACCCCATAGAACTGAAGTTTTCCTAGGCCCTTGCACTGAACCACTGCAAAGTTGGTTAGTGAACAGCAGCAAACTACCATCCAACTCCTCAGCTAAGCAGACTTCCGAAGGCAAGTATTTGGAATTATGAATTTCACTTAAAGACGGGAAGCTGAAAAACAAAATAATGTATGAATGACTAAATCTAGTAAGAGCCAAGCTGAAAGCACCTTTGGCCAAGTTTTCAAATCAACAACATCAACATGACCATGCCCTGTTTTCCCCTTTAAAGGAACCTTTCAACGGTTCAAAGCATAAACACGTCTCTCCAAGAAAAGTGAAATGAGAATTTCTTACCAGTAAGTCCAACCTTCTTCCTGCACATGAAACAACGATTCTTTTTCTGTTTTGGTTTGTCAAGTGACTTGTCTTGTTCTTCAGGTGTAGGCTCTGCGTTCTCTGACACTGAAGCTAACACCAAAAAAGTTAGTAAGAACAATGGAAAAAACCCATTTGTGTCTCTCCCCTTTCTCTGCTTGAGTCATATGATAATCTGAAGCCCATGTTGTAAGTTTAGGTTCCAGGGTTAACCATTTTGCTGCAGCTTCCATGTTTGAACTGCAAGAGACTCTCAGTAGCAGTACTAGAACTCCTTCCTTCTAGACCTTCAATCTAATTTCATTAGAGAATTCACTGAAGGCTCAAAGTTCATAGCACAAAATCCCCATAAAGAAGCAGAATAATTAAAAATTAGGTTTAAGAGTAAGATTCAGTGCTGTCAGACTGGGAAGAGAAGCCAATACCAAGTGTTTCCCCATCAGTGTTATTAGTCCAGTTCCTAAAATCTACTTGTAAGAAGCACTTTATTTATCAGAATCAGTTGAGTAAAACACTCTTTCAAATACTGAATCAGTATTATTTTTGCTGAAGGCTGCAATACTGAGGCCACCCAAAATGCAGTATTTCAGAACAATCTCTACCACTGTTGACAGTAGCTGCTCTTGCACACCTGGAAAAAGCCTACACAGGGCTAGTCACTCCCTGGAGTGAGACACCATAAGCTCAAGATACAGACTTACAGGGAGGAAGCACACTATCCTGAAACCCGGAAGGAAGCAGGTAAACATCTCATTTTAGAAGACACTTTTGCTAAGACAGCTTTCAACCTACTTTAGTATTCTCTCACATCTGAAAGACACAGGTTACAGGTTGTATGGGAGAATATAAACACGTAATGGTAGTATTTGCCTGACCCAGGCAAAAATAGAAATTGGCTGGTTTTCCTCAAGTATTTGCACATTCCTTACATTACAAAACAGAAATAGAAACCAAAAAACCCAACTTCATTTCAAGAAGGGCTAAAAGCCAGCCTCTGCCTACCAGCCATTGCTAGATCACAGCAGGACAAGTCTCCAGTGAGTAAGGAGAGTATACAGAAGCTAGGAGTATTTGCAGCAAAGAGGCAAAGAACGAAAGCAAGCTCCAGCTGGGAGGAGTGTCAATGGAAGCAGAGCTAGAACCAGTGCTGTAAAGAACAGAATACAACAGCAAGCCCAGACATTTGTCAGGGAAAAAGCTGCAGGCATCTCTGTGCAGCTGGATTTTTGTCAGGCAGAGACTGTCAGATGCAGTTCTGTGCTAGTTCTATGCCAGCTGACTGATATTCTGCATGACAATTCTGGTGGTTTTTTTCCCTGTGCTTCTGTTCTGATGTTTTGGGTTTGTTTGGTTATCGGTGGGTTGTGGTTTTTTTTGGTTGTTGTTGTGTTTGGTTTGTTTGTTTTTTTAAAAGGTACTTTCCACTTCTGTAGTGTATCAAAACATTGCAGCCTCTACCAAGCAACATTAATGGGTAGCAAAATACCCGACCACCAGCAAAGACTGCCTGCGTGGACAGTGTATTCCAAAGGTTAATCTAGCAAAGATAGATTTACACATGGTTTATTGAATCCTTAAAAAAAAAAAAAATCATTGCCTATGTTGCAAGCAGAGCTTTTCTTTGTCCTGAAATTCATAAGAATTGATAGTTTGCAAAAAAAGGTTCGAGGGCTTTAAATGGCTGTTAAAAGGCAAATTTCTGAGTGCACAGGTAATATCCAAAGGTTTGCAAGATAAGAATCAAAAGCAGTAAGGATTAAAAGATGCGAGATAAGTATCAGAAGTGGTAACAGTTACTCAAATGAACTCTTGTAGTGTTACACAGAACAGACATCGCAGTGTTTATTAATTCATTAAGAAAGCTTCATGCCATGAATTAGCCTTTAGCAGCGAACATTCTCAAGTTTGCATTTCCTGTTGTAGCAAAACCCAGTTACTTCAATGTAAGTTTTACTAAAAGGCTCTGTAACTATTAGCCAAATTTAGGAAAAACTGGCACTGTCTCCTGCATAACGAGGCTCTCTAATACATACATACTTAAATTTCCTTTGTGTGTATGGCACTCACATTAAAAAGGTTTAAAAATATTTAAGGGCTGCTGCTCGCTATAGAACTGAGTGAGAAGATTCTACTAAGCATGCTGCCACAAGTCACTGTCTACTGTAATAACCATAAATTTTAGATCTGTCTGCTTTTGCATAGAAGCCAGAGATTTGACTCAAGATCCCCTATGATAATCATGAATAGCCCAACCACTAAGCCACCTTTAGATGACAAAGTACCAATGTTTAGCGCTCCATCTGTAAGCTAGCTGTGATGAAAGCAATAGAAAAAAGCCAGGTAAAATGCAATACCACCCAGCTTGGAGCTCACGGGAAACATGTTGTCGCCACTCCCAGCTGCTGTACTTAGTCTGGATTCCAGGATCCTGCTGCCTGCTTTGCCTGAACCGATTTCCTCCCTTCCTCCAGCCCCAGCTCAGATTTTAGCCGGAGAACAGAAGCACTGGCAACACCCGTACAAGCTGCCAAGTAACCAAAAAGGAATAAAGCATGAACAGACACTCAGTTTTCTGGAGCTGACAGGTTGGGCTGGCCAACAGAAGTTCCCTGTTTTACAAAGCATGTGCTTAGCTGATCAAAACAAGCAGAGTCTGGATCTCCTCCTAAAAGCAGGAGCTTTTGCTACTGCTTTGCTTGCACCAACCCTGCCTGAACTTCAGCGTACTCCGACCACGATGAAAACAGCACCCGTGAGGCAAAGCAGACTCCAGTCCTTGCATCCCTGCAGGCACAACACGGAATTCCGCACTTGCTGCAAGACTTCTGACACGTCATCTGTTCTCTCCTCTCTCCCTACGCTGGATGTTTTGAATTTACTGCCCCTGTATTACCAGGCAGAGCTTCTCAAATGAAAAAGGGTTCCTCATTCCTGCAGGAAGAGTATTAACAGCTACTTTTACCTCTTCAGTGCATTTGACCAGACCTAGGAAGAAGACTACTCACTGCTCCATAGGAATGAAATGTGAAGTTAATCCTAAGCAGAAGATCCCCACTTCCTAACATATTGACACTAAGCTGAAGTAATCAGCCTAAAGTACACTGTTTCAGTGTTAGGAAGAGGCAAATTAAAGAAATTAAGTAAAAGCACACTTAACCTACAAAACTTATTCACAAGAAAGATGTAGAACTGTTTCCTCTCTCTCCTGGGAGCATTCATCCAGTAAACCCCACATTATTTTCTACATTTGTATCATACTCATACTCTAACTCTGAGCCCCTGGTACTGTCACGAAAATCTAAGTATTCATGAATTCCTTTCCAGTTCTGTGTACTAAGCTAGCCCTGATAAGGTCCACTGAAGTCGATGCCATTAGTTCAAGAGCATTCACTTTAGGTCCTGGTTATTTCCATGTAAAATTCTGTAGCAACTTCATTTTTTTTTTTTAAGTATATTAAAACAAAAATTAGTCTGCAATTACTGACTTTTTGAACTGGTTTACCTCACAAAAACCCTAGATGAGCGCAAAGCCAGGTGACTTCATTGAAAAGAACAGCCATGCACCTTTTAGCCAGTTAGTTAAATCTTAGCTAGTACTTTCATTTTGCAAAATACTAACCACGCCATATTAAACAACCGATTGCATTTCGCAATGCTAATATATGGACCTTTCCAATTCAGCAACAAGTTTGAAAAATCAGAGAGGCTCTTCTGGTTCTCCGAAGTTTTCAGCCTCAAAGAGGCTAAAAGCTCACCTGTTAATGCAATTTATACTTTTAGCCCTATGTTTTTGAGTTGTAAGAGGCCATACTGTAACAGGGGGGAGGGCTCTTGCCTTCCCTGACAAGATTCATTTACCTTAAAAAAACTTCCCTGAAATATAAAGCATGAATTGTAACCTGGATGGTTTTAAACTCATTAATCTAGAGAAGTGAAGTGCTGCTTTACCTGCTCGCAGGCTTGCCAGGAGGCAGCCCTGTTGATCCCCTGGCTAAGAAATAAGGAATCCTGACTGGCTAATCCTAACAGGGCTATAATGTTGACCAAGAGGTACAACAGTTCATGAGGCAACCTCAACTGGGTTGGAGAGATGCTCCAAATTGTATTGTATCTTAATGTGTTTCATTTTACGTCATTGTTAGTGATAAGTTCATTATATTTCAGAACATTAAACTTTAAAAAAATAATATCTATTAGCCACTATCTGTCTGTGCTTTTTGCAGTTTAGTACCTGCAAGCATCATGACACAGTCACTAAATGTAAAATCTAGATTTAACATATTCTATAGTTTTCTTCTATTTCTTTTGCAATGCATAAATTCAATGAAGACAAACAAATGCGAACTGCTCTTTGGGATTTTTATCCCTTTGTAGTTTTAGCTTGTCTGCAAATAGCAAGGACTGTGAGCACACAGCTCAAGTCCCATTTATCTGTCTGGTTTTAAAAATAATAATAGTAATGTAAGAAAGCCTAACTATTCACCCAATCTTTCATTCATTGTTACTGTAGCCCAGTAAATTTTGTAACACAGCAAGTTAAGGAGATCTCAACTATGTACAACTACATTAGACATACAAGTAGCATAAAAGAATTTGCTCCAGAACAGACATTCCAACAAAGCAACATTTTTATCACAATAAATACTGAACAAATGATCAAAGCAGACAATTTCTTTTTTTCTTCCCCTACATCAACAGAAGTAGCACTATAAGCTCTTCAGTCTGGGCCCAATTCCCACAGTTCTATGACTTTTTTCTTTTTTAAATGCTACAAAGCCAGACAATACTAAATAACTTCAACTCACACGTTTCTATTACATTCTTGTCAGCAGCCTAAAATTCAAGTTCTGAATGACTGGGGAGGAAGGGGATGTGAAAGGACAAATCAAAAAACTTTAGGATGCACAGTTGTGACAATTCAATGAAATGCCCTTAGTATCCATTATAAGCTGCTTGCTTTACAAACTTACACTTTCAAAGCAAAATACATTTAAACTAGAAACACTGTATTTCCTATAATTTTCAGTTAAGGTATAGAACAGAAGCAATTCTTCAGAAAATGAGGCTGACCCTGCCACAGTAAGTTATAAATAGGGATTGTAATTTAGAACTGCAATTACATGGTGGTGTTCTTAGTTTAGAAATCACTACGGTACAAAAAAAATACACAGAGAAATACTCTAAACATCTGATATCGGCTGATCCTTGAAATATACACGGTAAAATGTGAATATGTCCCTGAAATCAAAGCTTCCAGTTGAGAAACCTGTATTTTCATAGGGAGAATTATCTTTGGAGGTGGAGAATTAAAAGGAGCATAAATTTATCTAAATGGGTAAGAGCAGCGACATTCCTCTGAAAACTTGCTGGAAAAAGTCTTTCCACAGACCCAAGTCACCTCACAGTACAAGCATCAAAGATTATTTTAAAATAAAGCACTCCCCCTACCTCCTGGTGAAACAACAATAGCTGCTGCAAACCTAGAGTTTCAACTCACAGCTAAGCCAAGCAAGTAAGATAAGTCTCTGTCAACAGAGAGACTAATTCAGGCACTGGATAGAAGACCAAGAATCATGAGACTAACACAAAGAAGAAAAAAAAAAAAGACAGGGTATTAGGAAGATCAGCTTACAGAAGTTGCCTTTATATTCTCCAATACATGTCACACCTGTATCAGAGTAAGCGTGCAGTGCAATGTTGATGTGCCTGACTGAGGTGTTTTACTTCTGAGGTTCCCAGAAAGGGATGTACCTGCATGGGAGCGGGGTTACAGCTGGCATGGAGCACATCCCGGTTCCCCATACTGCAGAACAGGGATGAAAGTAGAGCCTTATCTGTATTACTCAAAGGTGTATCAACTAAAAGTCTAACTTGCAAACCTACCTCTGCTGTCCCAATATACGGAACTTAAGTATGAGCCTTTTCAGGATTTGCTCTTCTCTCAAGCTGGCTAAGGCCAGACATCGTTGACTGGTATTAAGAGCATAGCTTATGTGCGTTGTCAAACCTGAAGCAACAAAGAGTTCTTGGCTCCAGAAAGCAAACTGAATAACAGGTATCGGAACACGTCTGGAATATATCTTTTTAAGAGTAAACATGTTTCTAATAACTGACATCTCAAAGGCTAGTACAAAACGGCATTAGCATTGAAACCTCCCCTCTCGAGTTTTCCAGCTACTGTGTGACCAAGGATGTGGCCTTACTCAGCACAGCAGCTGAATGACAACTCTTGTATTCCACTCAAAAAAATGCGAGCTCAGGTTTGGAAAAGTATCTGAAAAGCAGAACTTTGACATCTGAGGTACAATGAAAAAAATTATATTTAGCTTAAGCGGAATTACACATTGCATCTGTGGAAAACCAAGACTCCTATGTTTAGACTAGTCTACAGAAACATAACTCTACCCACTAAAACCTTAGCTGTGTCAGCAGAAGGCAGAATACTTACTGACTTACCTTTAAATACATTTTATAATGTCTATGGATTACAAGTCTAAGCAAATTTTGTATACTATCTGGCATTTTTGCATTTTCCTAAGAAACACTACTAAAAACTCTTTAGTTTTAAGCTCTCTGCAAGCCTGCACATAAAAAGAAAAAAAAAATCAAAGAAAAAACCTTTACATTGTACCAGCAATAAGGATTTTAGGCCAATATTGTTAAAAGTCACCCACCCAGCCGTTTTCCTTCAAGCAACCAGAGTCTGTGGTTTGGTAACTTTATACTTGATAAAGTGAGTTTCTGTGCGTCAAAACATTACACCATTCCAGTTCATAGGTGGAAGGTTCTTTTACAGGTTTCATGTTTATACAAGACACTAACACTGTTCTTGTAACAGCTATGTCGTAACACCCTCTATCACAAACATGCTCTTAAACTTCTGTGCTATCTGCTGCAAATGACTACTCTGAGAAGTAACAGATACTCCAAACTCTACTTACATGTAATAACTGTGGCATAAAGACAGAACAGTAGACTGATTTATGATGTGCATTTCCAACCCCAATTAACACACTTGTTATGGCAGACTCCAAAATCTCCAGTTAAACATGAATGTTTTCAGTTTAAGACTTGCCTTTTAAGAAAGTTTATCCTTATTTTGCCTTCTCATTTCACAGAATATTTGGGTTTGAGAATAAGCCATCTCTTCAACAGGAGTATATTAAGAGCAGTGAAAATTTTAAAAACATTATTTCTAAGTTCTGTCTCTGAAAACTAGGCACCAACCTTGCAAATCTTCTGTCTCAGGTACTGTTTTGTCCACAGCCGTACTATCCGGTTGGGATGATGCTACAGATTCTGTTAAAAGTGACTGACTTGACACAGGGCTGGGGGGCAAAAAAAAAAGTTATGATTTTTATGTCCATGTTCTATAGAACATTCCTGAAAAATACATTAGAGTCCATCTTGCTGAAAGAGCATGCCAAAGCTTTTCACTTTGAGTTGTTTCTGTAACCATTTAAAAACATCAGTGTCTAACAATACTGGACAATCTGAAATGATGAAAAAGTTAAAACATTTTTGCATTCATATTGAATGCAATAAACCAGTTCAATTATAAAAAGGGAAAAAAACATTTTGGGGTAGTTTGGCATACCATCCTTGCACACAGAAGCAACATTCAATATGCAAGGATTTTTGTAACATAAGTCAGTGAGATAATTGTAGAGGAGCTACTTTTGGTGTTCTAGTGATACGAACAAGAAAATTGCAGCATGTCAAGGTTTCCAGTAATACAGCATCTGCAGCTGTACACAGAACCCATTAGATTTTCGCAGTGCAAAGTGGTGCTGGAAAAACTTCCCGACTGTCAGCCATACTGCTAAAATCACAGCATGGCTGGAAACTCACAGATGAACACCCTGGACAGTTATGGGAGTCAGATTCAGTACTGCCAGCCACTCACAGCCAAACTGCTCATCCAGCAGCTCCACTATGGAACAAGACAGAGCTGAAGTCCCAAGTGAGAGGTAACACTACCCCATTTGCCTAATGTATTTCTCCCTTGCCACTTAAGGATTCACTCTGAATCCAAGGAGTTGGATTATCCAGCAGCCCATGAACCAGCAAAGCCCTTCCAGCAGTCCATGACACAACCAGGGCACTGGAGCCGCAATTTTAATCGCCAAGAACAGCACATAGGACTTGAACTGCAGGTTTGGCCACCTACAAATGGGCATTGTTAATTTACTACACGTTTCCTCAGAGTATCATAACTCAGATATTACCAGTCTGAATCTGAATCCCTGCTTTTATTTTGGAAAAAATAACAAGCAACACCAATTTTTTGAAGTGCAAGTCTAAGAGCAACATCCACTCATTTCTCCTGTAAGCAGTAATCAAGCTGGTGATCAAAGAGACACTTTTTTCTCTTTCATGGTATTGTAAAGGTTGTGTGAGAAAACAACCCAAAGGCACTGTAATTGGTTCACCTCTGTGCATTGACCTGGATGAATTTTTTTGGTTAAAGAAACACATACCAGAAGAGCTGTATCAAAGTAAGATATCTATTTTCTACTCAAATTAGAGATCCCAGAATGGAAAGACCAAATATAGCATCAAGCATGGCACCTAGCCATATGTAGGATCCAAGCCTGAGGTAACACCTCCTATAAAAAGCCAAGGAGCAGAAAACACAGCCTGAACAGAATTAGCCAACAATAAATGACGAAGTCATCCTCGGCCTGTGTTTTACTACATTCTGATTTTTAAAGGAAAGTTGGAAGGAATATTACTGCGAGTTAGCTTCCATAATATAACACACTAACACTTCTCACTCAAAAAATTTCTGAAGCACTTAAGTCACTGTTGGTTGTGTCATTCTAAACCAAAATGCAGTCACTAAACGTAAACAAATATTTAGCTTTTACAAATGGAGAGCACTTAGCGAGTCTGAGTGATTTACAAGAGGACATTATGTCTCCTTGAATAATCCAGTTGGAAATTACTTATTTAATAAGAAGTCAGTTCAGTAGCACAACTTGTTCTAAGATTCAGATCTCTCTCCTCTGTTCCAGTACACTCCACTTTCTGCAAAGCAACTAGTTTGTGAACACATTATCATACATTTATTTATGAGAGCTCTAGTAAACAGCTTTCTGCCATTTTACAAAATCCTCAAATTTCTAAGATGGAAAGAGCTCTCCCCTTTGATAAACGTACAACTAACTGCACGTTGTGGAGTCAGACGACTAGCCAGACAAATCTCTGTAGAATAGCACGAAGCTGGCAATGCTCCTATTTGAGGCTAAATTCTAAAGACGAATTTGCATTTGAATGCAAGATGTAGCTAACAGATCAGCTGCTATTTACTGTTAGATCCCATGCTTTGAAGTTAGCAGTTATCTTACACGTTTTCCTAATCCAGGTCCTATCATTTAATTACACAGTATCAGTATGCTTCATTTAATCATCTTGATACAGATTTTTACATAAAAACACCAAACGACAGACAGAAACAGGTTACCTTGGCTGCATAGATGGAGTCGATGTAGAGTCTAAAGTTGACTGAGTTTCCTGGGCGCTGCCTTCTGTGCACTGAACCGGTAAGGACTCAGTTATACTACTGACAGGAGTTGCTGGAAGGAAGACACTAATGTAAAATGTGTTACACTACTTCCTGGGATTACAAGAGTTATAAAATGCAATTATTCTTCAACCCCATGACACTAGTCAGGAAAGTAATTGAATCTCAACCTATATCGTAATGAAACATAATTTTACAAAAAAGTAATTATGTTTGGCCATATTTTGATCGTTTTCCAGCCCCCCAGAAATTAGAAAATCTTGAAGTTGGGGCTTTAAAATAGTAACTATTTTCTGCTACATCCACAAACAGCTTTCTCAGCATAAACTGCAGTATTCTGACAAAAGCTTGGGTTCTGTTTAAAAAACCAAGATGGGTCTGTGAGAAACAGTAGCGTAGCATCCTAATGCCAACTTAGAATCTGTTTTGAAGTTTAGAACCTAGATCCCCAGATTTCAATGGAAGCTATTGCTCCAATTTTAGAAGTCAAGTTTAATACTAAGTCAAGGAGGGAAGTCTTCAAGAGTGCACCATGAGACTCCCTCCTGTCAGTATCCAGTCAAGCCAGAAGAGACATTTCAGAAGCTCCAGGGAAGTACTCCCTACTCTCCTTCCACCAGCAGAACATGCTGAAGTTGAAGACATCGGTGCGAATAGAGCAGAGAAAGGGTTCCTCTTCCTGAGGGCACTACCATTACTTTAAAGGAGGAAAGCTCTCTACCTTTTTCTATAGAGTGAATGTAGGAAGACAGTAGTTATTTCAATGGGAAATCTGCTTTGTAAGAAAGACAGTAAGTACATGGGGCACTGGACCAAAAAGAACAAAAAGTATCTCTACTGGAAGTTAGAAGAAACTATTCTTAAAAAACGCCTACAGGTTAATCCTTCGGTATCAGGCTGCAGAAATTAAATACCTGTATTTTAAATGCTTTTCACAAACATTGCCCAAGCTGAATGTTATCTCTACTGTCAGTAATTTCAGGAAAAACATGTCGGTATAATATTTTCTGCATTTTTATATCTTTGAATTGGAAGCACTCAGATCAATACAAAAGGTATTAGCAACAGTCTACTTCAGAGCAGATTAATCACAGCACTATTATGAGCATTTCACCCAAGCTCGTTCCATAAGGTAAGACACTTGAATAAAGTGGTTTGCGCTGATACTCCTACACTTGTAGTATTTGTACATGATCGAGACGCAAGTTCCTGTCTCCTGTGTCACTCTCAGTTGTTCACACAAACATATGTTAGCCTTACTTACCAGGAGGGCTAATTCTACCATTACTGTTCTGCCTTTGAAGATGTTCTTTGTAGCACACTGAACACATGCCATTTGTACGAGGATTCCCATAAAATCCGCAACCAGTGGAACAAAGCATAGGCACTTGGCTACGGTTAGTTTCTTGAGCCATTTTCCCTTCTTCTATAAACCTGAAATTGATACATACAAGTCACTATTTTAGTAGCCTGAGAAAACTCTTCTTTTACAGCTAACATTTGAAAATCTGGGGTTTCCTGTAGCTCAAAAAGATCTAGGAAAGACACCCTATGGGTAACTCGATGCCCTTTCCTAAAACATCTGTAAAGTCTGTCAAATAATACAAATACAGTCATGTGCATGCTTCGCATGACCCATACATACAGACCCTTCTGGCCCCACCATTTTAAGGTCAACATATAGTCCACAAATAAAAGTAATTTTAGAAAACATTAGAAGTATTACTGCTTCTAGCAGTAAGTTAAGAGAAGGCAGGGGAGGGGGACACCTATGCCAAACTCTTCTTGAAACTTGAACACCTGACACTGAATGAGAAATATAAAATGAAAGACAAGCATGGTAACACATGCTTATTTACTGCATAATCATTATAATTAACAATAGTCACATGAATTTGCAAGTTAGTGTTTAGTCACCACGTCATTAGTGAACGACAACATAACTACTTACCACAAAACCCGTATTATGATTTTTGACATGCAAAAAGAAAACCACTCTTTCAGTCAAAAATATTAGACTAGGTACACATACTTCCTATATATCAAATTTTGTGTGAAAACATACTAAAAGTGAGAAATAAGAAAAATACCAGGGAAGCACATATAACATCCTTAGATTTAGTTTTCATAAACACTGTACAACTTGCATTTTTTTTGTCCCTGGCTTGCAAAGATCTGTAAACCTTAATACAAGAAATGCACAACAAATGACCATTTTCAACAGTGTTCTGAGCCTCCTAACTATTCTCAAATGGTCTAACTTGTAAATCAGTTATTGACACCTGTCACTCAGTAAGATAAAGTTAATTTTCCATTTTTTGCCCCCCCCCCCCCCCATTAATACAGTCTTGCCCTTTTTTGTATCAGTTTTGAAAGGAAAAAAAAAAATCTCTTCTCATTAAGAAATTAAGTATCTCCAGGTACCAATTATTTAATTCAAGATCAACTTAGGTCTACCATTTTATACTTCCTGATTAAAAATTAGGCTGAAGCACGGATAATTTTAATTCTTGCAAGTCAAACCAAAACCAAGCAGTATTACTGAAAAAAAAAAAATATTTCAAGTAACATCAGTATATATTTCAAAAGCAAAGCTTTTGAAAGAAAATCCAGAGGAGAAGAGGTTTCAAGATATTTGAATACTTCACCAATTGTGAAGTCACAAAACTAGATCAAACCACAGCAAGAAGTACACCAGGGTAAAAAGATTTCCTTTTACATAAGATGTATTTTAAGCCAAATGCAAACAAAGTTTCCCATTATTTTGTTTTTAGACAAGTATCTTCATCTCCTCTCACACCCACATTCATTGCATTTTGATTTTATTTCCCCAAAGCATATGAAATTGACACCTCAAAAACAAATCTCTGGGTTGCAAAGCTAACAGCAACACAGGAATGACAGCCATGTCTTCTGTTCACAGCTACAAGGTACTGTACTCTAAGGATGAGAAAGTACTCCAGATATAAGACAAGGAAGATGTACAGGCAGGAAGACAAAAAAAAATCTCTGATAGTATCTTATTCGGCTTCAACCTGCAATTAAGCTTATTTCAGCTGTTTGACTGTGCTCCCCACCCCAATACAGAAGCATTTGCTTTCTACATACAAAGCCCCCATTGACCTCAAACAACAGCTAAATTTGATTTTGCTGAAGTACTGTACTTGTAGCTGAAAGAGCACTTTCATTCCTGCCTTTCTCCAGACAGCCCTTCTGAATGAAACCGCAAGTAGCCATGTGGGAATTCAATCCTTATGTCGGGCCCAACATTCAGCAAAGCCATTTCAGGAGGGTGTAAATGAAGACAAGTTTTCTGTGCTTTGGTAACTCACACCAATTTAAAGATGAAACCTTACACGAGTCACTCATGACACAGAACGTTTAAGATTGAAAGACTAATAAAAAAACACTTTGGACAGAATATTTCAAGGGCTAATAGAGATTCAATGTCACAATACAAGTATTAATCCTTTTAATTTTAGACAACAGCACATCAAAAGAACCCTACCATGCTAACTTTCAAAGTTTACCATGATTGCCTTTCTGTTCAATAGTTAGCTTAAAGCAGCACACAGGAACTCAATAACAGCACCAGTTACTGCTAATTTTCTTATTCCCCAACACAACTGTTGCTGAAGGGATCAGGTGCTAATGCAATCACAGCATAACAAATTGTGAAAGGTGCACAAAGATGCCCAGAAGAAAAACAAGAAAAGCTGGACCGAGTTCCAGCTAAGCCAGTTCCCAAGTTCATTAACCAGTGGATCCTGCCACCAGCCAAAGCACAAGCCACTGGCATGAGGCTCCCGAACACTTAAATCTCCAAGGGGAAGTGCCAGGGATTCTTCTGTAGAGTTTTAATAAAAGCCACAGGAAGCGGAAGATCCTTCATTGCTTGCTAATCTTTAGAGAATAAAATGGAGAAGAGATAGGATCAAACTGATGCAATGTTATGAAGTCAAATGAGAAAGAAGTTGAACCAACACAATAGCTTGTTTTTGCATTCAGAAGGGGCTAATTGCATACAACCCCCCACATCAGCTCCAGTGCTCAACTGGACCCTCACTGACCCAGTTAGTTCCCTGAGCCATCAAAAAAAAAAAAAACCACCAGGAAAAAAGGGCCATCACCACCATAGAAAGTTTTCTGACAGTTCAGTGAGCTCAATCACTTCACACACAAAAAAAGAGAAAAGCACAACACATAGGGGAAAAACTCTGGAACTGATGCGATGGATGGCATGTGACCAGGAGGGACACCACACATTTTAGCAGCCTGTAAGCTGCTGAGATGGTTGAACTGATCTATCTGAACACTAAAGCCACAAAACACCAAACCAGTAGAATAAGCTCTTGCTCCCCAGCTCCTCACTCCCTCTCCCCATGCTGTTCCTTCCCTCTCAGCACTCACATGCACTGAAATGAATCAAGGGAGTGATCAAACTTGGAAAACCAACCACTCGATCTTCTGCCAATTAGTTTTAACACAGACTGGTTTCCGAGTCTGTTTGTCACATGTGCTGTTTGGGCACAAGAGAGGGTCTAGCTGAAGACACGTGCTGTTTCAGCAGCAGAGCAGGCTTAAAGCATCAGGAGAACCACTAGTGAAAAACAGGCACTAAAAAAATAAGGGAATAGAGGTCCAAGCGCTGGCAGTTCCTGCCGCTGCACCTCAGACATGTCTCTCCTGTACACATCCACTACTGCACGAAGGCAAGAGCCAAGACGACACAGCACTGTGCCTTAGGAACTTTCCTCACCGTTTGGGCAGGAGTCAAACAGCCACAAGCGGAGCAGTCAGACTCTGTCCCCATCTCAGCAAACATGGACAGCAAGAGATCGCTGAACAGATGTTTTGGAGGGGAGGGAAGACCTCCCCTCATCCCAGTTCTTGGCTCATCTTCAGATGATTTTTGTTTCAAAACTAATCATAATTACCCATGCAGGAGGCTCCACAGTATCACCGAGCCCATCACATAAGCCAGTAACGGTGGGCTGTCACTGCAGCCTTGGAAGCACTGCTCCCACAGCCCCGGTCCCTGCTGCGCACCCCCACCCCCTCCTCAGGTCAGATCAGCTCATCCATGTGACAGAAAAGGGGGAATATTTATTCTGGTAGACTGGAGAGCTTGCTGATCTGACAGAAGATCAACTCTAGAGAACTGACAGAGTACAAAGGAAGCGACAAGGCTAAAAACAGGACGACTTTTTAGGGGCAGCTAGCCCTTGATGCGCATCAAGCCTGCTGTGAAATTCATCTCAAGTGTACATCCTATCCATAGTCTCAAAACCGGCCTCTTAGCTTGGCTTCAGTACAAAACTTGAAGCAACTTCATAGCTGAAGTGACAGCAAGGTCTTGGGATCAACCTGGCCACATGTATGTCCCACTCCATTTGAGGTGTCAAAAAACAAACACGGAGCTTGTAAAGCTGCTGGAAATACCTCTGGGCTCTGCCTGTTCCCCTCAAGCTGTACTTGCAAAGTTCATGGGGTTATCCTGTTACTCTGAATGCAGAATTGATTCATCTTATAGAAAAAAACAACTAAACTCTTTACAATATTGTAAGCATGTTCCCTGCTTTGCTTTACAGTATAGTTGTATAACCTGTTGTACAAGCTCTAACAAGAAGGAAGCATACTAGAGGGAACGGCAAGAATCTTAAACAATTCCCCTCAACACAACCCCAGAACATCCACTTCATTGAAGATTATGGAATAAACAGCATCTTTTTGTATTAGCTAAAAACTGCTAAGCTTAAACCAAAGTTACCTTTGATAATTTTCTTCTCAACAATACTTATTGCCAGTAGAAGCATGGCAGCACACAGCCCTGCAGAGTTAAGTCCTTCTCCCCTACAAATTTGGTGCTTAAAGTCTACCCATTCCTGTTACTCCTGCCGTAAGCAGACAACTTCATGGATCTCTAAGGCCTGCTTACTGCTGCTCAGTGCACATCTTCAGAGAGCAAACTTCTCTCTGTACCAAGCAAAAATCACAATCAATCATATAAAGGATATTCCCGACTACAAAACATACAGAGCTGAAGCTGTAGAAACACTAAAGCACGGTAAGTTTTTTTGGACATCAGGTTCTATGGGAAAATAGTTGCCTCTTCCAATACTCTGCAAAACGAGTAACAAAATCTTTGTGTATGTCCCTTCCCCACAGAGCAGGCACCATGATACAGGTCTTTTTCCCTTCTCCCTTCTTCTTTTCCTTTTAATTAAAATGTTTATATGCTACATGTTTCAAGTAACTGATAGCCTAGCTTTATAGGCTTCAAATGTTAATCAGGAAGATCAGAGAGAGAAGCATTTAGCAGGATTAAACGCACAAGGTTTAGGAATAATCTTTTTTCCCCTCCCTCTCAACAAGAAAAAAAAATCCCATATAGAAGCCAGTCTTCTCTTCATCTGTCTTCCACAAAGAAAAAG